CAATTTTACGTTAAAATTAGCTCAATTTTTTCCCGGATTTTCAGAATATATTGACTATATTTGTCACACTTTGTTGATAGAATTCATAAAAAAAAAATGTAATAGATACCAGCATAACACATTTCACAGCAAAAAACAGCTTTGTGTGCAACCAGGATTGAAAAATAGGAATCCAAAATTAAAAGTACTGTTATAGTTCAAAATGAAAAAAAAACTGATCATTTTCGTCTAAAAAACCTTCCGCCACAAAATATAGTCCCTAGCTTTATTCTACTTGAATGGAATTTAATCGCGATTTTTTCATTGGATATAGTTAAATTTGCACTGTGGAATTCAGATTTAATGTTAAAACTTAAAAATGATGCAGAATTTTATAAATAAAGGACGTGACCAAAATATGCTCTAAATCTCAGGATCGAACGTCCTTAAGCATAACGCTGATGAGCAACATTAACACCCCCCTTTTTTTTAACCCCCCCCCCCCCCGTTTCAGATATCTCTAACAATGTTTTGTAAATACATGTAATGCATTAATTGCTTCAAATGCAAGATTAATGCAAAGCATCACATTTGACTGCAAATATAATTATCAATAAGCTTTTCAAAGGATTTTTCAAAATAGAATCAAAATAAGCACAGAATTTTTTAAATAGAAAAAGTTAAAGCATTAATATTTTAAAACTTTATATAAAGATAAAAAGAAATAATTTTCTTCATAAAATACTACAAAACAGGCCCGGAAAGTATACATTGAAAATACACGTATGCATAAACGGTGATACATTAATAATAAAATCTCTGACACCTGTTGACAAAAAAGGTTAAAATATTCCACGTTTTTATTTAATACATTGGGGTTTATGTCTCGAGATGAATTTTTCCCCACACATTTGATATTTTGTTCCAGGAAACTGGAACGACGTTGAATATAACAAATCGTGGGGGGAAAAACAAACCAAAAAATAGAAACGTACGTCAGTTGAACACTATATACTGCAAGTCTTGGCGATTGACAGCGAAATGAATGCAAAATATACTGTACAGTGAAAAAAATACCACTGTGTCCTTGCTGCACGAGCATCCCTGTCGACCGATGCTAATATATTCCTATGTAAAACTTTTTATCCCCTTTTGTGACCTGACCTTACTTCCTGGAGCCATGGTTTGACAAAACTTCTAGCTAACTTTTTTTTGGCCAAATGAATCTTGAAAAAAAATTTTTTAATGGCCTTACATTTAATTTGATTTTTAAATTCTTTTACTGCATTTATCTACCCTTGAAAGAGAATATGGCCCTTCATTTGAACTTCAATCTCCTTTGGTAGAGTTGATATTGGCCTCCTGGTCCCATATAAGATGAAATTGTTAAAAGTCTACAACACTAGAGATTTCACTTCCTTGCATTTCTAATTATACGTACTAAAAGATTCATAATAAGAGGCCCATGGGCCACATCGCTCACCTGAGCACTGTGGCTAGGAAAAAAGCAAAATTCAATCCAGTTTTGAAAAGCTTACATGCAGGTAGTCCCAACCTACCCAGTGGCGGATTTAAGGGGGGGGGGGAGCACCCCCCCCCCCACCCCGCCTAAAATTGTCAGAAGCCCTTTGTATCAAGTGTTTTTCCTATTTGTACCTCTTATATACTCTCCTGTGTCTTCAGCAAACAGAAAAGTCACAAACTGCAAAATATTGGCTTAGAAACTAAAATTTCAGTTTGATCAAACTGCAAATGGAAAGAAGTGTTAGAGGCATCCAAAAGTGCATGCTATGGAAAATGAACAGTCCCACTTAATGAAATTCATTCTTTATATTCTCAATTATATACTCTGCGCTATTACAATGTACAAAAATTCAATTATTTAGAGAGGAGGGGTGCTAAACTCATGGATACTTATGGTGAGTAGGCAAAACAAGTCTGTTCATCCACTTAACAAACTTGGTAGTTCTATCATATTTAGTGAGCACATTTCATTTTTGAAAAGTTGGGTGTTTCATTTCTAATACCTATTGTAAAGTGCAATGGAAATGTAACCAATGCACATCACCATTTCCTAAGTCCCAACTTTGACTTATTTGCTCATAAGACTTCATCATTTGAGAATACGACTACTGTATTCTGGATAGTGTCCTCTTCAAATAATCAACAATCTTAGATGTACAATCTTTAATGTATTTTAAATATCACACACATTAGATATAGCCCAACTGCTGTTTGGTATAAAAACATTTGCACTTTATAATAAACTTGCATAAGTGTTCCTCTCATATTAATAAATAAACTGATCTGTAAAACAGGCTGAATAGATATACAAGTTCACAATGTCCAACCTCGCATTTCTCTATATTTTAACAGAATAAATATTCAAATCTATCAAGGAATCGTAACTCTTCCATAAAACAGTAGTAATCTATATTTCTTTACTAGATCACAATAGCATTCTGATCACAAAACAAGAGGCCCATGGGCCACATCGCTCACCTGAGAAGGTTTGACAATTCTGTACTTTACTAGATTTACCCCTTGTAATACATATTGTGACCCCACCCTACCCCACTGATCATAATTTAGACAATTTGAAATCTACACAGATATTTTCTATATATTTCTATGTATAACTTTGATTCCCCATTGTGGCCCCGCCCAATCCCCGGGGGTCTTGATTTGAACAATTTAGAATCTACACTACCCCAGAATGTTTCCACATAAGTCTCAGCTTTTCAGGCACAGTGGTTCTTGAGAAGAAGATTTTCTCAGATTTTTCCTATATATTTCTATGTAAAACTTTGATTCCCCATTGTGGCCCCGCCCAATCCCAAGGGGGTCTTGATTTGAACAATTTAGAATCTACACTACCCAAGGATGTTTCCACATAAGTTTCAGCTTTTCAGACACAGTGGTTCTTGAGAAGAAAATTTTCAAAGATTTTTCCTATATATTTCTATGAAAAACTTTGATTCCCCATTGTGGCCCCGCCCCATCCCCGGGGGTTATGATTTGAACAATTTAGAATCTACACTACCCCAGGATGCTTCCATATAAGTTTCAGCTTTTCTAACACAGTGGTTCTTGAGAAAAAGATTTTGAAAGATGTTTCCTATATATTTCTATGTAAAACTTTGATTCCCCATTGTGGCCCCCCCAACCCTTGGGGGTCATGATTTGTATAATTTAGAATCTACACTACCCCAGGATGCTTCCACATAAGTCTCAGCTTTTCAGGCACAGTGGTTCTTGAGAAGAAGATTTTCAAAGCTTTTTTATATATATTTCTATGAAAAACTTTGATTCCCCATTGTGGCCCGTCCCAATCCCCGGGGGTTATGATTTGAACAATTTAGAATCTACACTACCCCAGGATGCTTCCACATAAGTTTCAGCTTTTCTGGCACAGTGGTTCTTGAGAAGAAGATTTTCAAAGATTTTTCCTATACATTTCTATGTAAAACTTTGATTCCCCATTGTGGCCCCGCCCCATCCCCGGGGGTCTTGATTTGAACAAATTAGAATCTACACTACCCCAGGATGTTTCCACTTAAGTCTCAGCTTTTCAGGCACAGTGGTTCTTGAGAAGAAGATTTTCAAAGCTTTTTTATATATATTTCTATGAAAAACTTTGATTCCCCATTGTGGCCCCGCCCAATCCCCGGGGGTTATGATTTGAACAATTTAGAATCTACACTACCCCAGGATGCTTCCACATAAGTTTCAGCTTTTCTGGCACAGTGGTTCTTGAGAAGAAGATTTTCAAAGATTTTTCCTATACATTTCTATGTAAAACTTTGATTCCCCATTGTGGCCCCGCCCCATCCCCGGGGGTCTTGATTTGAACAAATTAGAATCTACACTACCCCAGGATGTTTCCACATAAGTCTCAGCTTTTCAGGCACAGTGGTTCTTGAGAAGAAGATTTTCAAAGTTTTTTCCTATATATTTCTATGAAAAACTTTGATTCCCCATTGTGGCCCCGCCCAATCCCCGGGGGTTATGATTTGAACAATTTAGAATCTACACTACCCCAAGATGCTTCCACATCAGTTTCAGCTTTTCTGGCACAGTGGTTCTTGAGAAGAAGATTTGCAAAGATTTGTTCTATATATTTCTATGTAAAACTTTGATTCCCCATTGTGGCCCCGCCCCATCCCCGGGGGTTATGATTTGAACAATTTAGAATCTACACTACCCCAGGATGCTTCCACATAAGTTTCAGCTTTTCTGGCCAAGTGGTTCTTGAGAAGAAGATTTTTTAATGACCCCACCCTATTTTTGTCTTTTCTTGATTAACTCCCCTTTGAGAAGACCTGAACATTCATTCTAACAATTTTAATTCCCCATCACCCAAGGATGCTTTGTACCAAGTTTGGTCAAAATTGGCCCAGTGGTTCTTGAGAAGAAGTCGAAAATGTGAAAAGTTTACGGACGGACGGACAGACAGACGGACAGACAGACGGACAGACGGACGGACGGACGACGGACACAATGTGATCAGAAAAGCTCACTTGAGCCTTCGGCTCAGGTGAGCTAAAAAGTTATATATGCAGTAGTACATGTTAAAATCCAGTCACCGTTTTTATGAAAGCCATCCTTTAGATGTTTTCCATGCACATTCTGTGCATACATACATGCTGATACAGTAACATATTATGTACATAATGACAATTTCCGACATTTCTTATATTAATTGTCCAGTTTTTAATTTTTCACATGATGTTGATATAATTAATATCATTTTTACAGACCCAATCAGCAGAGTTGGTGGACTGAGATCAAAAAATGCAACCTGACAAAATCAAAGAGATGTAGCACTGCAACAGAACATTACCAACTTCTCAAAATACTTCCACCCCATTATTCAAAATTATACCAGCATAGAAATAAACATGCTCTCATTAAGGTCTTAATTAATACCGGGTAACTGACCTAATTCTACATTTAGAAAAAAACACACAGAGGCACCATTTGAAATTTCATATAATAATGACCATTAATTTTTTTAAGTAAAAATTTTTTTATCGCTGATAAGATACAATGAAAAGGTTTCCTTTCATCACATACAGTACATTCAACTTCCAAGGTCATCAAAAATAGAATTCAGACAAAAAATTCACATGGTAGTATTCAAATCATTCTCTTCTAAATTTACCTAATTTCACTTTTGTGCTGTTCTTTCAAAGAAACAAAAAATGCATAAAATGAACAAACTACAGTGAATTTGAGAAGTGTTGCATATAATGATTGTTCATGGTCAGGCACATGACATGCCTGCATCCAGTAACTAATGACTTCTACAAAACTTGGAAATTTTGTCAGGCACCTGCTTGTCTGTTTGTCAGTGAAGGTAGTCCGAGAGGTTGGCAAATGCACAGGACCCAATCTTGGCTTTGGACATAAGTTTCATGCACTCAGTGGACTGGGCAATAACCAGTTCTAGGGGAGGTTGTTTAGGCAGACCCTGGGATTCTACAATACAGCATTATTGAAGGTCTTACAAAGATTCTATGGTAAATGGTACACTAATGAAAGCTTAAAAAGATCTGTGAAAGTTTTATAAAATGTGGATTAAGTCCTGAAAGTTGAAAATGAGAAATTAAGTAGGACCTTTCAAGCACCACCATTCAACCATTTATAAACGTTGAACAATAGATTACTAAATAAATATTGCTACACAATATAGACTGTATTTTCCTATTCTTTATCTGAATGATTAAAATGTACAGTACCTAATATAGCACTGTTTAAGGCAGCACAGATTGATTCTCGTTGCACCGGGTCTAGCTGGTATCCTACTGGACTGTTCCATGGATCAGAGTACGCCAACAAACTAAAGGCATTCTAAAAAAAATAGCACAAGACAGACTGTTTAATATGAGAGGAACACTGTTATTCTTTATCATTATGAAAATGTAAGTTTACACAAGAATTTCAAACACATTCGATTTACTGGCACTGGGTAAGGAAAGAACTGTTTAATACCATGCTCTTAGATAATGTACCCCACAGGTCCTAAATGATTACATATCCTACATTAATGATTTAACACCGTGATTCTTACAGATACACTGTATTTATACAGATAAACTTGAGTCACCTGTAGTGATTTGTTGTTGCTCTCACTTTTCCCGTACTCCCGTTTTAGCCTCTGGTTCATGGACTGCAGTTCTCTCCCAAACAACAGCATCTTCTCAATGGCTGCCTGAGATCCTCCACACAACTGTCGCTTACCTGAGGGGGCATCCACATCTATTGACACAAAAAGAATAAAATATAATATAAATACATATATGTACTTAAATTATTGTTTTAGACCTTTTCTATATACATGCCCATTAAAGTGCATATGAATAATCCTTTTAATTTATTCAATTTTTTGACAAATTCATTTAAGTGTATTCATATGGATACATGTGTCATGGGATTGTTTATATCCTGTGATGACACAAGCAAGTAAGGACCTTAATTTCCCTGAAGCAAAACTTTGCAATTGATCATTTCAATTGTTGGTTACAAATCACTTCATAATTAATCTGTACAAAGCTCACAACTAATGTACCCCCTACCAATGAAAAAATGAGACTGAGATCAAAAGAGAGCTGCCATGCAAATACTTGAACATTTTTGACTGAAATAAACAAAATGAAGAATGAAAAGTCATGGGACCTGGAATTTCACTTTTCCAATATTTTATATAATGTTTTATGTTTCATAGTATATTTCATATAATTTCGTTTTATCATGTATTTTATGATCTATCATATACAAATGCAAGTGATTTATCACACTATATGTTAACTGAATTTGAAGCTGTATTCAAAAGAAGTTCAATCCACATACAGCAGAGATTGAGAGTTAACAAATGACACCTCAAATAATGTTGTGAACAATGGTTGCAACTAGCAGAGCCAGCTTTATATATAATCCGGAAAAAATGTTAGGCAAGCTATCTCCAAATTATTATCAAAACATTTCAATGAAAAAATTCTTACACATCAGGGATCGACACTAACTTTAAGACCATAGTTGTCAGCAGGGCTAGCCATTTCTAATTTCTACCAGCCCTGTTCATGTATTAGTTGTCCAGCAGCCGAAAGCTTTTGGCCGAGTCGTGAAGCGACGAGGGGGGGTAGGTGCGGGAGGGGCTTTAACCTCCTGCTTGTGGGGGTATGGGGGGGGCCTCCCCTGGGAAATTTTGAAAATAGAGATGCCAAATCCTGCATTCTGGCTGTATTTTGGGTAAAAATTATATGTTATTCTATGATTGTACCTAAGACATTTTTCTATTTAAAAAAGTCAACATTTATAATCATTTATGGTATTTCGATTCACCTTTCAAGTTTTCATTTTGACTTACAAAAATAATAATTATGTTGATAAAACATGTTTGAAAATAGATTTAACAATTATCAGGTACATTGTGTGTAATTAATAATTATTTCTGTTGTTCTGAGTGAGTATTTGGTAAAAATTTTAGTAGTCCTGCAGGGCAAGTTTAAAGGCATGTTTAGTAGCCCGACCTCAATATTCAGTTGTCCCGGGCCAGCGGGCTACCGTTAGTGTCGAACCCTGCACATATTGGAGGGAAAACATAGAAGCTTTAACTGGAAATCAGAATATTTTTATTGTTCCCCGCTTTTGTGAAAGCGAGGGGACATTAAATCTCATTCGTCTGTCCGTCACAAAAACTTTAATCTTGCCCATAACTTTGGATTTAGTGGAGCTATGACTTTCATATTTCACATATGTATTCCTTGTGATAAGACCTTTCTTTGGGTACCACCAAATTTGACCTTTTGACCTTGGAGTTTGACCCACTTTTACACAAAAAAATCCATACTTTTACTTTGGCCATAATTTTTGAATGGTAGATACTAGGACTTTCATATTTCAGATATACATTCTTTGTGACAAGACCTTTTTTTGGATACTAACAACTTTGACCTTAATCTAGAAGATTTCCATACTTATGAAAAAACTTTAACCTTTACCATAACTTTTGAACGGCAAGGGCGAGGGTTTTCATACATCATATACGTAATCCTTGTAAAAAGGCCTTTCATTGGATACCAAGAACTTTGACCTTGACCTTGGAGTTTGACCTACTTTTCAAAAACTATGACCTTTGCCACAACTTCTGAACAGTAGATACTAAGACTTTCATATTTCACATATGTATTTCTTTGTGGCAAGACCTTTCATTGGATTTCAATAACCTTAACCTTTTGACCTTGACCTTGGACATTTTTCATACTTATGAAAAAACTTTGAATGGTAAGGGCTAGGGATTTCATACTTCACATACGTAATCCTTGTGGGAGGACTTTTCATCGGATACCAAAAACTCTAACCCTTTGACCTTGACCTTGGAGTTTAGTGATGATTACTAAATAAACGACATAGGATAGGGTGTTCATATTACACACAATATGTCATTAAAAATGACATGTCACCCACAAAAACACCGACAGCGGGGGACCACAATTCCTTGAATTTTTCTATGACAGGATTTGTTTTAATGAAAATGTTTTTGTTATGTATCCTTCAATGTCTTACTGTATGTGTACTTTAAAACTGGGCTTCATATTTTAGTGGCTTTGGGGTGCACAATGATGTGCTAATTCATAAATACTGCTAACAAATAATTTATAAATTTAATATATGGCACAGACCTGTGTAGTGCTGATCTGATTCTTAATTATACCGACAATTACATACCTAGTGACTGTGCTAAATTTTGAATGCGTCAATTTATGTACATGTACAGTATTAATTCAAATCAATTATCAAGACAACAAAATAAAATAATTATTGACTCTTTCAGCTTAACTTTGGTCAATATTGATATTTATTTGGAGAATATTAAGTAATATTCACTTCTGAAAGAGGCTATAATAATCCCCTCACAATAGAGTTAAAGGGTATATAGGAATGCAGTTGTGTGTGTTTGTTTGTGGGTGAGTGAGTTAATTTTGTGCAAAACGGAAGTGTTTTAATTTGCATGATTGCATAGGGATCAATGTCGAATGCTGCCTTGATTTAAATATGCTCTTTGCAAGGGGATGCTCCAGCTTTTGGTGCCCTCGTTGTTTCTTGAAACAGGGATGTGATTGGCAGAGGATGAAAAAGGAGGAAATGAAATCAGTCGGGGTCTGGGGGCCGCTACAGGCCCCCAGTGGGTGCAGGGCAGCGCCTTGCTGGGGGGCCCAGGGGGGCGAAGCCCCCCGGAAGCTCCTGGGGTTTCACATGTTTTAGAGCTTATAATTTAATTCCTAGAGATATCTGAGAACCATTTTTTGACCAAAAAAAATTAACTTAAATTAACATTTAAATCCTTGATTTATTATCATGCAATTTCAATTGACAAATTATTGTTTTAATTTTCTTTTTTCGGCCAAAGCCTTGAGAATTCGTAATCTTGCTTGATTGGCCTGCTGCTTGACTTCGGCTTGCAGATCTTTTTCTGCTTCTGCTTGAAGTGTTAGCTTAACATTTTTATTCCGATTTATTCACCTGTGTTTTGCACTTGCAACTTATTATTCCTTTCTATTTCATCATGATTTCTCTAAAATTTCCATTAATGCATTTAACTTGAATACACGAGTCCAACCAAAATTTGTTTTTAACATTTTTGTCAACACTAGAAACGTCTCCACTCCTGTCCATACTCTCCATGTTTTTCTCCAGTCTTATTCAATAATGCGCTTTAAACCTCCCAATAATTGACTTTTCGTAAAACGTTTTAAAGACCGACACAAGTTATCTAACCTGACTTTGGTAAAACTAGATCCCATATACCTTCACATACAGGAAAAACGATAAAACATTAATTTTTTGCTGTTGATATTTATTTGATACATCAACAACATTTTTTACTTTACTTATATTTATTATCACTATCAATCAAAATGACGATCTTGAAAGATTTAGTACCTCTACACCCCCCCCCCTCCATTTTCTCATTGGATTTGCATTGATCTCAAAAATGATCATAACTGACTTTCAAATTCGCGGAAATCCGCGTTTCCGCGGAAAAATCACATCCCTGTTGAAATTATATCCTTTTTATAATATACATATATTCCCTTTGTAAATGTGACATTGAGATCCAAAAGGTGAACTTATCCAAGTTTTAAGGCTATGAAGCCAAATTTTGCACAAATGCCAGCATCCCAACCAAACCTATTTTCAAGTTAATGCATGGAAACCAACAAGAGAAAGATGACCATATATGGATAACCCTACATCCCCAAACCCTTTGAAATGGGAGGATATAATTACCAGATGGTGTTTTATCTTCTATTTACAAACCAAATCAACACCTTAGTCATCAATACATTTAATGACATTGCAGAAGAATTAATCAAGACAAAAATTGCTTGAATAGACATATAGTACATCCATCCTACTTCAAAATTTAAGGAGCTACTGCATCTTGTTTACATACCCATCTCCTCAGATTTGCATGTGTGATTATTTCCATTCATGTAAGCTCCCTCTGAGTTTCCGTTTGTGAATGTTTTAGTCTCTGGAACAAGTCCATCCATCATTTCCACATCATCATCCTCAATCATGTGACACTCTGATCCATTCATTGATATATTCGCCCGATTCATTTGTTCCTCGGATATTGTCTTTAAATCACCCATGTTCTGATTGTTACTTTGTGACACCTGTAAGTTTTGACTTGTTTGTGAAGATGAACCTGAACTATGACCCTTGACACCTATAGGTCGGTTAGGACTATTGCCACGGGATCCTACTGGAGTGTTTTTCTGTGAATATGAATTTGTGTGGTGGACAGGGCTCATGTTGGGACTGGAACGGTTAGATCCACTCCCATGTCGTGATTTGGGGCTGCGTATTGCTGGGCCCCTCACCTCAGTGTCCGTTCCGTTCACCATCTCAATGAACTGTCTACATTTGAGCATAAACAATAGATTGAGGTTCCTTTCCAATAAACCTGGATACAACTGCTGTGTGGTCTCTATTGCTTCACCCATACGACCTGCTAGTACCAACTTCTGTATTCCTACAATTAAATCACCAAATATTTACTAGCATTTCTATAACCAAAATATGTGTATCACTATATACCAGCAATTTTGCATTCCTACAATAAAATGATTGTTCTTAACTAGCAAATTCGATTTTTTTTTATTTTCATTAGTTTTAGTGTTGGTTTTACCGCCATATTAAAATCTTAAGGAACATTCATATGTACAGGAATCAAACTTCCAAGAAATCTTTTCAAAAAAGTTTTTACTCAAATTTACGAGACATGTTGAAATCTTACTTTGTCTGTTTTTGATGGACGACATGTCCTCCTCTATGGACTGTCCTGTCGATCGTGAGAATGCCTCCGCTGTACCACAGTAACCATGGTGTACTAGATATGTAGATACAATCCTAGAAGGAATAAAACAAAATTTCTTCAAAGTGTTCAAAAAGAAATAGTTTCATCAAGTTAACTTTCATTTCTTCAAAATTGTAAAAATAAATAGGTATACCATATCTTAAGTTTTACGGTATAGCTAAGGACTTATTCAATACCCTTGAAAATTAATCATTAAAGAACTAATAATTTATCATTAAGTTATAGAGTGTGTTTACAGAAACTGCAACTGACAACCCAAATAGCTTAATTTGAATAATTTGATTTTTTCTACATTACAATTGTGTTTTTAATTTGCTTTCTTTTTTCCTAGTTATGAGGGTGAAAAAAGCATGATTTTACAATAAGCATGAATTTTCTATATTTTTGACAACTGTAAACCAACTTTTATTTGCGTGCCAGAAATTTTCGCGAGAGAAACATCATTGCGAATATTTCTTGCCGTGAGCTGGTCCTTAGAGTCTCTGTGTCTATTTAGAACAGATCCAAAAAGGCTTGATCATGAAAATTTATTGTCGCAAATTAGTTTACCCGTGGTAAATCGGGAAATAAAGTTGTCGCGAATAAAAGTTGATTTGCAGTATGCTTATGAAGTTTCCCAGTTCCTAATTATATCCTCAGTCATACATACTGTTGTAGGGCTGTCTGCCATTCCCCCTTTTTGTCGTTAACAGGGAACCTCTCTATAGTCAACTTGGTCTTCATGTGCCACTCCTGAAATAAAAAAAATTCAACATATTATATTGTTTAATTATTGACAACTTTTTCAAAATGTTTCTTTAGAGGGAAAAATTGATTCAGAAATTCACGGAAAAATTACATATAATAATGAGTACAAAGTTGTTCTGTTTCAGTTTTAAATTCTCAATTCAATGAATGCAAAGAATTTTCATTTTGTTTTGCAATTAAAGAGTATATAGTCAAATTTGTCCATCCTCTGGATACCTGAAATAACACTACCAGTTTATACCATTTAACCCTACAGAGGTATGTACCTTCATGTAGTCTTCTATGTCAAATACAAAGGGGGTCTGTCCAAAGTTGGCCTCCACCACTTCTCCTGGAGTCTGGAGGCCCACAGTGGGGTAAAGATTTGACTGAAATAATAGAATAAACACTTCATCAATGAACAGCAAAGCATGAAAGCATGAGTATATCAACTTTTTTCAAAATGCTTCTTCTACATAAGTATTTGTCCTTCTGTATAAATTGATAAGGGTTTGTTTGTTCTGGGATGGGAAACAATTATATGCATGGTTGGAGGTTTGTTTTTTTATGATATACAGTTGACTAAAGACAATTGAAAAAAAAAATCTATATTTACTGTATTATGTTCTAATTCACACTTTCAAACGAACATAAAATATTTATAAACTGAACTCCAAACACAAAGATTAGGAACATATTCAATATGCTTTGCTAAAACTGGTAAGATCTGAATTTCTGTTTATAAATACTGAGGGAAAGAGCTTTACCGGTAAGTCTGTAAATGCAACACCTGAAAAAAGAAAAAAGAAATTTCATTCCTCATCCAAGCCACCTGAATTTTGAAACTCATCTCAGATATACATATAAAATATATAAATATAATTATCATATATATAAGTTTTATAAGTTTCATAATTTTCAGACTCTGCATATACAAACCTAGATTGATTCCGTTTTTGGTGTAGAAACAGGAGTTGTCTATGAGGTTGACACAACAGCCTATCACATCTCCTGTTGTAAATGTTGGACCATACGGCTGGCCGGTGCCAGAGGAACAGAACGAATGACCGTCATCTCCATGGTAACCATAGGAATGCTTATCCCACCCTACAAAAAAGATCTTGTCAAGTCATTGTCTATTTTTCCTTTCACTTATTGAAGCGCTATTCATTAGTAATGTTTGACTTGTAATGAACACTTTTTGTATGCTAGCTAAAGAAGAAAAAAATAATTAACACTTTTTGTATGCTAGCTAAAGAAGAAAAAAATAATTAACACTTTTTGTATGCTAGCTAAAGAAGAAAAAAAATAATTAACACTTTTTTTATGCTAGCTAAAGAAGAAAAAAATAATTATATTTAGAAAGTTAATAAATGAAAATCTAGCCCCATCACACTTTTCTTTATCAGGATGAAATTATTTTTCAAGGCCAAGGCTTAACCTTCCTTGGTAATAACATCTTACTCATTGACAAATATCATACCAAATCGAAATATGAAATAACAATCCTGGAGAAAGTGATTCAGAAGTAACAGGAAATACATGTATGTGAACAGAAAGAGTAACTACGAATTCTTGCACAGGCACCTGAAGTATGGATAATACCCCCCCCCTCTTTTTTTTAATGAAAAAAAAATGTAAGAGTGTAAAATTCAAAAATATAAAATTTCCCCGTCAAACACATCTATTTGTCGTTATATGCAAGCAAGTACTTTTTTCACAAGAATGGCCCTATTCGGTATAATAAAAATACACAAGGTAAGAAACAAAAGTTGTAAACAAACCAGTATCGAGACAGATTTCCAAGTTAATAACAGTGTTACCTATCATACTTTTGCAAGCACTCTGTCAGGGAGATGTTCTTCTACTAAACTATTTAACCTAAACCCCGCCATTAATGTTAAATATGCCGTAATCGAACGATTTATTAATCGGATACATAAAATTTTCTCCATTGGCAGCTTTGGAGGAGGTTTTGGAGTTGCTTTTCTGTTCTGCCTTATCTGATTGGTTAATTGTTATACAGTTTAAATATCTAACCAATCACATAAGGCGAAACAGAAAAGCAACTCCAAAACCTCCTTCAACGCTGCCAATGAAGAAAATTTTATGTATCCGATTAATAAATCGTTTGATTACGGCATATTTAACATTAATGGCGGGGTTTAGGTTAAATAGTTTAGTAGAAGAACATCTCCCTGACAGAGTGCTTGCAAAAGTATGATAGGTAACACTGTTATTAACTTGGAAATGAGGGGTCCCCCCGTTTGTTTACAACTTTTGTTTCTTACCTTGTGTATTTTTATTATACCGAATAGGGCCATTCTTTAAACGTGAGAAAAAGTACAATCTGCTTGCATATACAAATAGATGTGTTTGACGGGGAAATTTTATATTTTTGATTATTATACACTCTTACATTTTTTTTCATTAAAAAAAAAAGAGGGGGGGGGGGTATTATCCATACTTCAGGTGCCTGTGATTCTTGTGGTTTCTTAGTAATGAATTAACATTACCTAAATACATTCTTTATTTAAATATACTGTGCAGACTTTAATCAAGAAATTTCAAAGATTTTTCAAAAGTAAACATACATTGCAATTTAATTAAATCCTAGCTCTTGGCCTTATATAAACTTGTTAAAATGATAATTGACACATGTATTCACACAAAAGAAACTAAATCTATTGAGCTATAGATAGCATTCAGCATTTATGTGAAATTAAACTTACTTTGATTTTGTACATTTACAGACAACAGAATCTGGATTATTATGTATTTATTTGGATTAGTAATAGTTAATCTTATCTTACCCGGTAATCTATTCATATTGACTCCTTGTGCAGAGAGGCCTATCCCCATATATCTGTAAGGAAATATAAATACATGTACATTTAAAAACAAATTTAATCCTGAGCAAACAATGATGATACTCGGAGAGAATGTTTTCCATTCAAAACTTTTATAGAAATTACACATGATTACAAAAAATTTGATTCAGAGTTAATTAATATTTATTTGAAGTAAAAATGGAGAAAATATTTTGTTCTACAATTAGACTTTTTTTTTCACAGATAAATAGTTCATAATTCATATACCCTGCCTGATATTATGAAGGGCTCTTAATTGTTAGTAAATATTTTCATTAACTGTCCATGTGTACATCAGGCTTATTGTGAATCGACTCATTAGGTGGAGCATGCACAATGCTTCATAATTACAAAGAATGATGCCCTTCTCTAATTTACTTTAACATCCATAACTGATTTTTTTTATCAATATTGAATTTCCCGAAACAACCCTGAATCATGTGTCAATTATCCAATATGGTTGTCCTCTTTATCATTGATTTTGTATAGTGCATGTATAAAAAATTGGTGTGTAGCTAAATGGCAAAATTCAGAGAAAAGGCATTATATGGACAAATCCATTTTCATTCATAATAATTGACTTTGACAAGATACACTCTTGTTGGCTCTTAAGTGATACAAAATTGTGTGTTGTATGAAAAAACATAGGTAATCAGAGATTACAGAGCTCACCTCAACGAATGTTGTTTTTATGTAAGGCAAAGTCACACAATTAACCAACAAATAGTGTACATTCCAAAAATGAAAATATTTAAGCAATTTTGATCTGATACTTTGAAATAGACCTAAATAAAAAATTTAAACTAGTTATTCTCCAAGAAAATGTAATCAAAATCCAGCATCTGAAGCAAATTTGAGAAATTTCATCTCTTGATGAAAACTTTAACCTGTTCACTCAACCGGAAAATGTAGGTCAGATTCAGCATCCGAAGCAAGCCCGGTAGTATCCATCCTTAGATGTATCATCCATGCAAGTTTGGTCAACATAGGGCTTATAGTTACTTGCAAATGAAACATGCACCAAAAACTTTAACCTTTTCACTCAACCGGAAAATGTAGGTCAGACTCAGCATCCGAAACAAGCCCAGTAGTATGCATCCTTAGATGTATCATCCGTGCAAGTTTGGTCAACATAGGGCTAATAGTTACTTGGAAATGAAACCTGCACCAAAAACTTTAACCTGTTCACTCAACCAGAAAATGTAGGTCAGATTCAGCATCCGAAGCAAGCCCGGTTGTATCCATCCTTAGATGTATCATCCATGCAAGTTTGGTCAACATAGGGCTAATAGTTTCTTGGAAATGAAACCTGCACCAAAAACTTTAACCTGTTCACTCAACCAGAAAATGTAGGTCAGATTCAGCATCCGAAGCAAGCCCGGTTGTATCCATCCTTAGATGTATCATCCATGCAAGTTTGGTCAACATAGGGCTTATAGTTACTTGCAAATGAAACATGCACCAAAAACTTTAACCTGTTCACTCAACCGCAAAATGTAGGTCAGATTCAGCATCCGAAGCAAGCCCAGTAGTATGCATCCTTAGATGTATCATCCGTGCAAGTTTGGTCAACATAGGGCTAATAGTTACTTGGAAATGAAACCTGCACCAAAAACTTTAACCTGTTCACTCAACCAGAAAATGTAGGTCAGATTCAGCATCCGAAGCAAGCCCGATTTTGTATCCATCCTTAGATGTATCATCCATGCAAGTTTGGTCAACATAGGGCTAATAGTTTCTTGGAAATGAAACCTGCACCAAAAACTTTAACCTGTTCACTCAACCAGAAAATGTAGGTCAGATTCAGCATCCGAAGCAAGCCCGGTTGTATCCATCCTTAGATGTATCATCCGTGCAAGTTTGGTCAACATAGGGCTTATAGTTACTTGGAAATGAAACCTACACCAAAAACTGCACCAAAAATGTTAACCTGCTCCAAAAACATTAACCTGGTCATTCCTCTGCTGAAAATGCAGCATCTGAAACTTTGACTGGTACAATGAAACACACTAGAACCATCTTCCATGCATGTCTAATCAATATAGGACATAGAAGTACTTAAAAAGAAAACTGCTCCAAAAAACTTAACCTTAACCTGGACGCCGACGCCGACACCGACGCCGACGCCGAGGGTATTACATAAGCTCCCCCAACTTCGTTGAGGTGAGCTAAAAACCCCTAAAAATATCACATTGTAGCTGACCTTTGGTTAGGAGGTCACTGACCAGATCACATGACCTCTGGGCTGTCAGACACTGGCCAATCGACCTAGATCTGAGATCAGCCCCAGTGTTTACACACTGACCTATCAGTACATTTACCACATCATTGTCAATAAACACTAGGCATGATTAACAACACATCAATAATACAAACCCCTGGCTTTCCTGTATTTTTTTCTCTCCATGTAATTTCTAAACAACCCCTTAGTCTAAGAAGAACCAGACATCTGATTCTTATGTATGAAGTTTCTATAATTGTGTGATATAAATATAGCCCCCTCTTGAGTAACAGAAGTATGCAAATAACCTTGTTCTACATTTACAAAAACCAAAACACACTAGATCCTTAACCTTGAAGCAGAGGTGAGAATTCGAGACATTATACATGTGACACTCAAAAGTGCACCTCCCATGTAATTACGACTTTAGCAGAGCCCGGCTGTACATAAAGCTTATGGTACATGTTCTAGATCATTCACTAGAAGCAATAATCTACTGTATGTAAACATCCCTGGTGCATATCACAGTTATTTTCTATCTCTGCAGTCAGACAGAATAACTGTATAAGAGCCTGGCGTTATCCCTATGGTGCCAGCTAAGACCTAAATATAATGATTGAAACTGTCATATCACACACCGAGCTGCTGGAATGATTACAAATATTCCTAACACCATACTGACACACAGACAGATGAATATCTGTTTTTTACTCCATATTCTTAAATATGGCACTACTTTTTAGAAGGTCAACATGGTCAAATAAGTAAGACGATTTTTTAACATACATCACATACAAGTAAATATCAAACCAAAGGAGTGTATATAGTGGCTAGGTTTTATTTTATCTCTGTCTCGACTAGGTCTCTGGAAGTCTAGAACAAGTATGAATAAATCATTTATCTACTGGTCTACTACACCTATAGCCAGATTAGTATCATTAATTAACCTCTTGAGCTTACTTGCATTTCTACAGTTGTAAGTCCAGAGTCTGAGTATATGTCTTACTAAACTGATGGTTATCAAGAAAATGTATACCGGGTAAATAGCCCAAGGCCTTGGTACTAAAATTTAAGATTATTCTGAGATAAATATTACTAAATTGGAACACAACTCCACCACAATTCATTATTATACAACATATAAATAAGACTTTGTCCCAGTCTAGTAGTAGGGTCTCAAAACTGAATCTTAGGGTCACAAATTTATTTAATAATTTTGTTTTGAAGAAGTATACAAGTTACATGCAAACCCTTTGCCTGCTAGATGTCCAGCAGTAATAAAGAGGTCATGAACTCGAAAGGAACTGGTCCATTCCTTAGGTCCTATGATCCCGCACAGGATTTTAGATTGGGCATAGGAAAAGAATTGGGAGGGATGTGAAGAGAAGAGCATGTACATGCGCTAAAGTGGAGGACTCCAGTGGATTGAGGGCAGTGACAAAGCCTCCTGAGAAATAAGGAACCTCATTTTAACCGAGTATATAATTATTTGAGGCTATTTGTCACCAATAGTAATAATCTGCACAACTTATTCAGCCATTTCAGATATTCAGAGAAGGTAAAAATGTTCAAATATTTATGAACAATAACAGCCTATACATGATATAGGACATAAGTTAACTGACTCAGGTGACCTAAAAATTGTCATGGGAAAAATATGAAGATGATTTTGATTCAATGTCATATATGACTGTTGTGGTATTTTTGCACGAAACACAAAACATAAAATGAGCTCTGTTTCAGCTTACCCATCTCTTCCTTTGCTGATGATTTTGACTTCAAAATAATAGATTCCACAGGATGGGGGGATGGGGTGGGTGGCCCTCACACTGGCCGCATCTTTGTGGTTCTTCCCAACTCCTGAAATAGTGATAAAGTGTAATGTATATACTGCATGTATATTATGTTGAGGCATTTTAATTTTCTCTGAGTATAAACCTTATAATCTCTGTGTTCTCCAATGGGCCTTGAAATTTCAATTACAGTGCTTGAAACAAAAAATAAATGCTGTGATTAAAATAGTGCATGTGAATACAAGTTCACTATCTGACATATAAATAATCAGCAATGCAAACATTTTGTTTTACATTATGCTGACAATAATCTTAAACTTTACATAATAATGTATACCGATTCTTTTTCCCCTTATTACAATTCAATTACTACTTTTTTAAAAACAAGAGATGTTACTGGTTTGTACTTATGATAAAGAAAGAGAAAAGAAGCAGTTAATTGGGACTTAAAACTTTACAAAAGCAATAAATAGAATAATGACAAACACCAATACAAAGAATTATGTATCTTAGTGTGTTCTACTTGTGTGCCAAGATATATTGAAATCAGATCAAAACTGTAGGAGGAGTAGCATTTTAAATGTATTTCAAAGAAATATATTTAAGTACAACCAAATTTCAAATTTACACATATTATGTATCTTAACACTTGTGTGCCAAGTTATATTAAAATCAGGTAAAAACTGTAGGAGGAGTAGCATTTTGAATGATTTTCACAGAAATTTCTAAGTCCATGGCAACACCATAAATCAAAAACCGATAAATAGAATTATGTATCTTAGTGTAGTCTACTTGTGTGCCAAGTTATATTAAAATGAGGTTAAAAACTGTAGGAGGAGTAGCATTTTGAGTGATTTTCACAGAAATTTCTATTTTTAGTAACCACTGCAACACCGTTCATCGAAATCAAAAACCGATATATAGAATTATGTATCTTAGTGTAGTCTACTTTTGTGCTAAGTTATATTGAAATAAGACCAAAACTGTAGGAGAAGTAGCATTTTGAATGTTTTTAACAGAAATTTCTATTTTTAGTAACCACAGTAACACCGTTCATCGAAATCAAAAACCGATAATTAGAATTATGTGCAATCACTTGTGTGCCAAATTATATTGAAATGACCAAAACTGTAGATATAGCATTTTGATATATTGTATACCAAATTTCATTTCAGTATGTGCAACGGTTGTGAAGAAAATAAACAGAATTATGTATCATAAGTCTACTTGTGTGCCAAGTTATATTGAAATCAGACCAAAACTCTAGGAGGAGTAGCATTTTGAAAAATTGTTTACAGATGGGGACATAAAAATGCCATTACTATCCCTTCTTCGAAGGGGGGCATAAAAATATACATCCTGTTTAATCACCTTTCCTCCAGATGAATAAAACATGCATTAATTAAATATTTATGTAGTATTGTACATATACTTAACCCATTGACAAACTTTTAATTAGCTTTTCCTGTCTTTAAAAGCTAACATAGAAATTTCATACTAAAAATCCTTTAAAATATGACAGCTTTGCTAAAAAGTCATTAGTCTCAGGCACATGAGTAGAGAGGTAATAATTTTGTACATTCAAATTCATGGTTACAGACCCACCTATAAATTTATTTATTTAGCAGAAAAAAAGAACATTAACTTCCTGTATGTAATTATGAATAACAGAAAAAAGAATGTTATAAAAATAACACTTTAATACAGTATAAATATAATTGAATCACATTTGAAATACATGTACCAGTATATTTTAATTGCAAATCAATGACATTCTTTAACACAATTCATGTTTTCAGTGTACATCAACTTTGGTTTCATCTTTAAAGTTTTTGTTAAGAGACAAAGTTCTGTAAGAGTGATGTGATAATTATGTTTGAATTTCCTGTCGAATGAAATCATTACAAAGGAAAGCAAACATTAAGATCTAACTCAATATGAACTAACTTCATCAATTAGTAATTGACTGAACCCGTTATTACATCATTTTAATTACGTACTCTAAAGTACCTACACTTTATTTAAGATCTGTTTCACTGCAAACTGAACAGGTCAATTATTTTCCACGATTCAAACTTCCTGCATCGATCTTATTCTACCTCACTTTACTCTCTGGAGAAAATACGTCAGTGAAATGTTGAATATCTGTGGCTGTGTTCCATGTTGTTTTCTTTGTAGATGATGAATGTACTTGTTGCTAATATCTAACTTCACGTATAACAGGCTAATATCCTGCTCAGTGTACATGATTCTCTCATTTCTTTACAAGTGGCTCAGATAGTCATGAGTAAGAAAAAAACAAAAAACTAACACAACTAAACTGTTTGGACATGAAATTAGGGAAATGGGGTTTGATCTTCATACATTTAAAAAAAATATTTCCTCTGAGAACAAACTGCAGAGTGGTTTACTCATTCTGACAATTAGTAGCTTCCTTTATCTCTTTACTCTGATATAATCGATACATGGGAGGAAAAGTACCAAATTATTAAATTATCAAATATATATTTTTAAAAAATCTTTTTAATAATTACATAAAAAGAAAATAATTTTTGTCGTTGTTGTTGTTCTCCCTAATGCATGAAAATGTCTAAACCTGTAGTATTTTTTAATAACAATATGAAGGCATTTCTAGAACTGGAGTACTCTTAAAGCATGAAGGTCCAGTGTATAAAAGTGCTTCAGCCTTGAGAATTAATCCAAACTAAATTAGTGTTTGTCATCACATGGCGCAAAAAAAATTAATATATTTCTCCCCTGATGAAATATTGATCCTGTCGGTGACAACATGAAATGACACAGAAGTTACGTTTAATACATAGTTATATAAATCTACATCATAGTTTTATCCCTAACTTTACCTTGAAAAAAATTAACCCTACATGAACTCTAACTGCATATGCAATGAGCTTAAGCAAATGTTTCCTTTAATTATCATCTTGACTTTGGTCTGAAAAATTTCAATTTAAGTGGTTACAAATCTAGTAAGGAAAATACATTTAAAACAGAAAAAATCTCATTAAACTTTAGCTGTTAATACATATTTAGAGTGATAATTTCATGATAGATTTAAAGTTGCCTTTTATTTTTTAAATTTGATTTGTGATATCATCAATAAATTTGAGAGCATTTAATATTTCTCACTGAGATATTCATATTCATATAGGGGACAATTTATTTGCCTCTAACATATCATGGTTGCATTATTTTCACAATCTTAAAAAAATTGTATCACAAAAAAAATTATGGAAATTTCACTAAAATCAATACAGAAAATATTTCATTCTTCCCCAGAAATTACTGAAAAAAATGTTACTTCAATTCATAAAAATCAAAGGTAGGATAAAATTTGAGAGAACAAACTTCCCTGTTGGTTTACTGTGCTTTGATAATGTGTATATTCAACTTTCTTATCTCAACTCTTCAAAGTTGAAACACCTATGGGAATTTTGTTATAAAGATAAAAAATCATGGTTCCTGCTATAGAACCATGATGTATAGTGACCAGAATATTCTAAGAAAAATTCACTGTTTAAATATAATTAGTCCCTTTTCTTTCTGCATGTTTTATTGATATGTATCTTGTTGCATGGTTATATATAAATTATTGTCAACACATTTAGTGACTGAGAGTAATAGCTAGTAAAGGGATGGATTTCCAGCAGTATAGTCACACTAACATGGAAACTCCTTTGAATGATTGTATAGCATTATTCCACTTGTGCACGTTGATCATTATATTGATTATTCCATTTATTTGTTGTAGGTTTTCTGATTTTAGAATTCTGACAAGAAAAAACAAAATTTTTGCTATAGGAATGCATCATACTTTGACCTCTTTGCCTGATAAACGTTTATTCTGATTTTAAGTCTTATTTTCTGTTTTTAGAAACAACGGCTTGTCAACGTTCTTAATATTTTGATAAACAGGTGATATTTTATACTACAAAGTAACAATGAAATATAGACACATTTGCAAAATATTCAATGTGATTTGTCAATGAAAATTATGATTGAAAATTGGAATAAAAAGAGACAAACAACTAATTGTCATGTTCTTTGGGGACTGAAAATTGTAAAAGAAATTTACTTGAAACTTTACAAACATGACCTCATTTTCACTTTTGTTCAATGTGGCTTTTACTTCTTTAGAATTATAAAAACACTGAATAATTCATAAGGCAGGGCTTATATTTATAAGAATAAATGAATATGACCTAATTTGTGCACTTTTGGAAAAATTGACTTTAGTGCAGTGGTAATTTTGTTAACCACAATGACTTTTGCACATCAACTTAACCATCGAACTGTCATTCTTTTAAGGTAGAAACGGCACCGTCGTTTGGGGTTTGTATCTAACAAATCAGCTGTTTAATGGGTCAGTGATTCTACGATTACTGCTGTTCTAAAAATAAACCAAAACAAAGAAGTTCGCCTGACAACTAGATATTTCTAAGATATGAATACACAGTCATCAACTCGATCTGATATAATTAACATTTCGTGGTCAGTATCATATATGCCTGAAATCCTATCCATGGACCAAAAGAGAATAAATTGCGTTTGTTTACATATGTCGAAATAAAAAATTTACCTTTGTAATGCACACGCAAATTATTTTGGGATAATCCAATAAAATTGTATTTGTCTTTAGAACTCCATGCTCTCGGTAGCGGAGTTTCTTCTTCATTTACTGCTGGATAGAGCTGCTTCAGGGGGTCGGGAATTTCTTGAATACTGGTATTGAGCGATTCAGTGGAGCTAAACCCACTTGTCGCTGCCATTTTTCTGTTACTTCCACCAATGCCCGTATGAAGATTATGAGACAGTCAATGTTTCTTGTGACAAACATTTTGATTTGATGATGAAAATTATTTCATCCAATAAAATGTCTTGTTACAATCATCTATCATCCATTGGCGAGGTGCCTTGTTGATTCGTTCCTCTAGTTGAGATATTGTTAAAAATAATAACAAAATAAATACAAAAAAATAATAATAACAGCGTTTTTTTTTTTAACTCAACAAGCTTTCTCTTTCTAGTGCTTTGATATTTTTAAATATAAAACTAAAAATAAACAAACAAACAAATTTTTTTTAGCACCAAAAAAGTCTAAAGTTATTTACTAGAGAAAAATTAACAAAATAAATACAAAAAAATAATAATATATGCTTTCTCCAGTGCTTTGATATTTTTAAATATAAAATTAAAAATAAACAAACAAACAAAATTTTTAAAAAAAATGTCTGTGAAAAATTAACTGCCCACGTATTTTCAAATGTTAAATCAAACTGCATGTTAAAGTCAAAAGTTAAAAAATGTTGATATCCAAAAAATGATCTTGTCACAGGACAGACAGTTGCAATAGAATAACCCTGATACAGTGTATAACCCTTTCATAAATAGTTTTAAACAAAATAAAATGGAAAAAAGTCAAACTCCAAGAAAAGGGACCCCCCCTCCCCCGATGCTGACGCGCTTGCATGTTACTCACAGTGTTATTTAGCTTTACAACACGCTCGAACTATGCATAGAATGTCATATAACCCACCATTCAAAAGTTAATACCTTTTCAAATGTAGGTCAATCTTCAAGGCCAAGGACGAAAGGTAAAAATTGCTGGTAACAATTGGAAATGTCTTGCATGAGCGCAGACACTTATTTCTGTAATAAATTTTTAACCCATGATTCAATGATGATATTTATTATTGTAACAATTTTATTATTTTATTGTATTGTACATACTAGTATTGTATTTAAATAACATGTTATTATTATACTATGGGTAAAGAAAATGTGTATGTGAAACACTATGTGCCCGGCGGCAACAAAAGTAGAAAAAAAATATTTTTAGCATATAGGTCACAGTCAAGGTCACAAGGTTATTGACCTTGATGTCTTCTGAAAGAACTTTACTGGTGCAATCATACCAAATATGAAGTCTCTATCATTCATGGTTCAAAAGTTATGGCGAATGTTCGTAAATAGCTATTTTTAGAATATAGGTCACAGTCAAGGTCACAAGGTTATTGACCTTGGTGTCATCTGAAGGAACTTCATTAGTGGAGTATGTATACCAAATACGAAGTCTCTATCTCTCATGGTTCAAAAGTTACTGCGAAGGACTTAATATAATAAAAAAAAATTACATTTACTGTGAGATCCTTCAAACCAAATACATGTATACCAGTATTAAAAGATTTTTATCAATGAATAAAGCTGATAAGAGGGCTATAGCAGATGACAACAGACAGACAAACAGACAAACAGACAGGACAAAAACAATATACGCCCCGGATCTATCGATCCCGGCGCATAAAAATTTATTACAGAATAGTAAGAATTTAGTGTCTGTGGTCTTGACACATGGAATGCATTTGTAAAATATTCAGCAGTTCAAAAGTTCAATCGGATCACCTCGCCCTTTTCCGTCGCCTTCTAGATTGTTCAAAAGTTGTGACAAAGGTAAAGGTTCAGTATTTTTATGCGCCCGAATCGATAGATCCGAGGCGTATATTGTTTTTGTCCTGTCTGTTTATCTATTTGTCTGTTTATCTGTCTGTCTGTTGTCAACTTTAACATTCGCCATTACTTTTGAACCATGAGAGATAGAGACTTCATATTTGGTATGCATACTTCACCAATGAAGCTCTTTCAAATGACAGCAAGGTCAATGACTGTGTGACCTTGACTGTGACCTATATGCTAAAAAATAGCTTTTTCGAACTTTTGCCATAACTTTTGAACCATGAGAGTAGAGACTTTATATTTGGTATGCATACACCACTAATGAAGCTCATTTTTTTAACTTTGTTGCCGCCGGGCGCGTAGTGTTTCACCAACACATCTTGGTTTTTTTTCTGTCAGTCTGTCAGTCTGTCCGTCACAAAAACACCTTGCCCATAACTTTTGATTTAGTGAAGGTCTTTTCACAAAAATTACACATGTGTATATATATATGAAAGCCTTTCTTTAGTATTACCAAATTTGACCTTTTGACCTTGAAGGTTTGACCCACTTTTACTAAAAAATTCCAAACTTTTACTTTGGCCATAACTTTTGAATAGTACGTACTTGAACTTTCATATTTCACATATATATTGTTTGTGGCAAGACCTTTCATTGGATAACAACAACCTTGACCCTCTGACCTTGACCTTGGAGATTTATGTACTTATTAAAAAACTTTAACCTTGACCATACCTTTTGAACGGTGAAGACTAAGGCTTTTGTATTTCACAAATGTAATACTTGTGAGAAGACCTTTCATTGGATACCAATTACTTTGACCCTTTGACCTTGACCCTGGAGTTTTAACTACTTTTAAAAAACTTTAACCTTGGTCACAAATTTTTAACAGTAGATACTAGAACTTTTATATCTCACATATGTTTTTCTTGTGACAAGACATTTCACTGGATACCAACAACCTTGACCTTTTGACCTTGACCTTGAAATATACTTATGAAAAAACTTTAACCTTGACCATATCTTTTGAAGTGAATAGCCAATTAAAGGCTTCTCTATTTCACATATGTAATACTTGTGAGAAGATCTTTCATTGGATACCAATAACTTTGACCCTTTGACCTTGACCCTGGAATTTTAACTACTTTTTTAAAAAACTTTAACTTTTTAACGGTTGATACTAGGACTTTTATATTTCATATATGTATTCTTTGTGGCAAGTCCTTTCATTGGATATCAACAACTTTGACCTTTTGACCTTGACCTTGGAGATTTACGTACTTATTAAAAAACTTTAACATTGACCATAACTTTTGAACAGTAAGGGATAGGGCTTTCATACTTCACACATTTAATCCTTATGAGAAAATCTTTCATTGAATAAAAATAAATTTGACCTTCTGATCTTGACCTTAGAGTTGACCTATTCTTAATAAAACTTTTTTTACTTTGGCCATAACTTTTAAACGGTCAGGATAAGGGATCCTTCCAAAAAAATCAACTTCAATGATAATTTCCAATAAATGACATGATAGGATGTTCATATTGACACAATATGTCATAAAAAATAACATCTCATCCACAAAGAAACCGAAAGCGGGGGACCACAATTCTTTGAATTTGCTTGTTAACTTTGTTGCCGCCGGGCGCGTAGTGCTTCACCAACACATCTTGGTTTTTTTTTTTTGACAAACTAGATCAAACTCTTAGGCCAAGATCAAGAAATCAATTATGTTGATATCAAAATGAAGGTCTTGTCACAAAAATTACACATGTGATGTATATATATGAAAGCCCTATTAGTATTATAACGATTTAAAGGTTATAAGTTCAAATGAATTTTTTCGATTCATATATTTTAACATGTCTGTTTGTCTGTTTATCTGTTTGTCTGTCTGTTGTCAACTTTAACCTTCGCCATAACTTTTGAACCGTGAGAGATAGAGACTTTGTATTTGGTATGCATACTCCATTAATTAAGCAATTTCAACTGACACCAAGGTCACTGACCTTTTTACCTTGACTGTGACCTTTATGCTAAAAATAGAAGGATTACACGCATAGTTTGGACTTTCAGTAAGGCGTGGCATTCTCGACGTTGCCTAATTAGCTTCTGAAATTTACACAGCTTCCCTTCACTGTTGAAATATACATAACTAGAAATAATTCAACTGGTGTAGTGAATAGCCAATTAAAAGTTCTCTCACGGCACAGAGGTGGGACATAAGTCGTCTCATCGTTGTTAACAACAATCTTAAGCTCCTGATGTTATTAATTTCGTAACCAATGAGAATCAACTAGTATTCACCATTACGTAGCGCCGAGAAAGTCACGCCTTACTGAAAGTCCAAAGTAGGGGTAAAATCGTCCTAGCTTTTTCGAACTTTCGCCATAACTTTTGAACCATGAGAGATAGAGACTTCATATTTGTAATGCGTACTCCACTAATTAAACACTTTCAACTGACACCAAGGACAATGACCTTGTGACCTTAACTGTGACCTATATGCTAAAAATATATTTTTCGAACTTTCGCTATAACTTTTAAACCATTGGAGGTAGAGACTTTATATTTAGTATGCTGACTTCACTAATTAAGTGCTTTCCAAATGACACCAAGGTCAATGACCTTGTGACCTTGACTGTAATCTGCATGCTAAAAATAGCTTTTTTGAACTTTTTTTGTCGCCGGGCGCATAGTGTTTCACACACACATCTTGTTTCCTTCTAATTTTGCGGACAAACAAACACAAAGACAGACTGCAGGACAGAGTGATTAGAGCAAAAACTATTTTCATCGTTTCTTCGAAAACAGGGGTTTTAAAACAAACAAATAAGTTCAAATGAACATTCTTTTCAACATATATTAACATGTATTTATGTTATATATGGCACGCCAAATTCACAAAAATGAGATAAACATAGTTTCACAGTCGATAAACTAGGTTTATCGGTTGTAAACTATAGTTTACAAACTGTAAATATAGTTTAACAACGTTAATCTATATTTTAGGCGGTAAACCGTAGTTAACGCGATAATCTACGTTTCACAACCGTAAACTATACTTAACACTGAAAACAATCATTTGCGATTGCAAAACATAGATTATCTGATAAATAAAGTTTCACAATTTGTAAACTATATTTTACAAACCGTTTACTATAGTTAACGATCTGATAAATATAGTTTCACGATTTGTGAAACTATATGGCACGCCAAATTCACAAAAATGAGATAATCATAGTTTCACAATTGACAAACTAGGTTTATCGACTGTAAACTATAGTTTACAAACCGTAAACTATAGTTAACGCTTCGTTAAGTATAGTTTTCATCTGTAAAACTATATTTAA